TACATATATATATATTATATATATATATATATATATATATATATATAATAAAAACATCCATAAAAAATATCTGTCTTTCCTAACGTTGCGATCAGAAGACTACATTATTTTGTGTGCGTTTCCGTTACTGACTGCTTCGACGAGATTAGTTTCGTCCTTCACGGCCGATTGTTTGTGCGTTTTCCATGACAGCCCTAGACGGGGTGGAAGTAGTATCGCGATCAAACCCAATAAATGCGGGAGCAGGTACAAATACCTAATAACAAAGAAAAAGTAATGCGTTAGTCAAAGTTGGGCTTGATAATTAAGGATATATTCTTCGATTCAAAATTCGAATTTTCGATGTCGAAGAATACACTCCTACGATCCTAGTTAACAATGGATGGCTTACAGGTACACTTTGATGCTTGGTACAAATTCTAATAATATAAAGCTGAACGTCATGTAGGCCATTAGAATTCTCGTCGTAATAAACGTTAAGACATCATAAAAAATCTTCTTTCGTTGAGATTCCAGGAACATCGGCCGGATATAGCGACGGGTCTATTGCAAGAATACAGAAGATTGAAAATCAGCGCCTGTTTCGTTCAAAATCCTTAATATGCAGCACAACAGTTTAAATCTACTAACTGAACGTGCCGCTACAGTGAAGAACGCTCCGCTTGCGAATGTGAGATAATAGCCAGGATAAAAACCATGCCATAAAGCGGACAAGGCGTATGTATATATCACTTTGTTACGACCAGCTCGTTCGTACATGATTGATCGTAGCCATAAATTTGTGCCCTTGTTCCAGCTGTCGATGCTATCCCTAAGATTAAGCGATGTCTGAAAATTGATCAAACAGTAAACTGCAAGAATAATTTTAAATAAACATCCATCATGTATAGTGCCGATAAGAAGACGAATTCGAGTGTTTCGTTCTTCTATAACATTTTATCGTAAATTATATTTTAAAATTTTAATTACGTTAGAACCTCGTAATAGCGCACAATTCGAGGTTCTGAACTTAATAACAAGGTTATCCTCTTCGCTAAACTTCACTAAATCATTAAAGGCCCTATGAGGGATTGCTGTTAATCTATACCCACACACTACTCACGTGCGTAATAGAGGAAGGAATTTATGCGCTAATTCGAAGTTTGCTATTACGAGTATACTTCTATTTATACATTGTAAACAGTACACATATCGCACCTCAAACTTAAAAACGTCGACGTTCGAAGCTAAGTCCCAGCGGGCTTTGCCTCGTTCATCATAACCGTTGAATCCAAGGCCAGAATTATTACATATGGCATCGGCGAACAACCATGCGTGGTAGTATTTGAAACGCGCGAGCATAGTCGTCAGCATTAAGTACAATATTTTGTAAAATATATTTGTGTTCTCCAGGAATTCATCATCTAAAAGAAAAATATATCATTAATTACGGCGATATGTACTATACGTGACAAGATTGAAGACGAAGGATTCAAACAAACCTTTTACATACTGTATCGGGAAGATCGGGATAAATGTGATGAATATAATGGCGCATACTAAACTTGCCGCGACTTTTTTCACAACGACCAGAGTGGGCGACGGCTCCAGAATAATCTCCTTTTCTTGGCTACTTTTGTCATAGAATCCCTAAAACAATTGTTACTAAAGTAAATGTTTTTTTAATTTATATTATTATATATAAATAGCAATTGTTTGCTTAATTGACAACTCTATAGTTTACACAACATTATATTATAAAATAACCCATTTTTATCTCAAGATAAAAGATATCAATTCTAAAAGATTTTTAACAGGCATTTTAAAGTTTTATGTCAGTGTTCTTACGGCTAAAGATTTAGCACCAGGCAAGTGATGTCCATGTATGAAATCGATATAATCACGGTAGAAAATCACTGGACCAGCCATTAAAGCTTGAAAGTGAAAGATGTAGCTAAAGTATTCCAAAGTAGTTGGCATCTTCCTGTAAAGTTAACATTAAGAAACTATTTTTTGTAGTAACATACACAATAAAATTGAATATTTCTCCACTTGCGTCGTTTTATTAACAATTCATTTGTATTAATAAATTTTTTCAGATTGGAATTTAAATATCATTCTCTATTCTAAAAACGTATTAACTATTACAAATATTGCGATTTTAGATATAAATATATGTATAAACAGATTTATATATAACCATTTATAAGTAAAAATACATTTTACTAATAAATACGATTTATAACACTTTGATGGCCGCTGTCACGTACACGTGATTTCGTTAGCCAACAATCGGCATCACACGACGTGATTTCATGATTCTTAATGTCTATATTTTAAATTCACATTTCAGTTCTTTTTTTGTTTTGTGATTACATTCTTAGGGCCACATTCACCATTGTCGGTTTATTTAACCAGCCTAGTAACTGTAATGAAATAGAAAGAGATGGAACTATTTCTATATTTTTCTATTTCATTGCAGTTACTAGGCTGGTTAAGTTAACTGAGCTTGATGAAAATGGCCCTTAATGTTTTACAATTGTTTTGGGCGATATTTTTAAAGATCTTTCATGCTTTACTTTAATCAATCTGAAATAATATTTTATTATATTCAAATTTCTTATTTTTAACTTTTAATAATTTATATTTTATATATTTGTAAAATATTCTAAAAAATATTTCGAAAATTATAATATAAAATTAAAATATTAATTCAAAATTAATAAATTAGGAGAGACTGAGACCGGTAATAATTTTCGAATAATGATTTTAAAAAATGTGGATGTAAAATTTTGAAATACTATGTATGTTATAATATACATGTGTCCCAGAATGACCGCTAAATATTTCGTGTGCTAGTACAGCGGACTAAATTGAGTCGAAAAGCCTCTACTTTTGCAATTTCCGCAATAGTTAACAAGATATTAATATCGCCGAATATTGGTTATCAATAAGTTTTTTATTCAAGTACTATCAATTTAACAGAAAACCAGCAAGAGACAAAAATTGTTTTCTTCTAATAAAGCTTTTTTAAGAATTATTTTTAATACCGCATTTTCTCATGTTGGTAAAAATAGTTGCCAATAAGAAAATGCAATATTAAAAAGTTGATAAAAAATTCTTAGAGCTTTATGATAAGAAAATGAACAATTTTTGTTTCTTGCTGCTTTTTTGTACAGTTGATAATACTTGAGTAAAATATTATTGAAGACAATATTCGGCGAATTTTAGTAATTAATATCTTGTTAACTATTGCGAAAATTGCAAAATAAAGACTTTTCGACTCAGTTTAGTCCGCTCTACTAGCACACGAAATATTTGGCAACCATTTTGGGACACCTTGTATATTCCTTATGTATTAAAAAAAAAATATTCTTAAATAATCAAATAAGTTATTTAAGTTTAAATAAAGTTGCGAAAATGTGACAACTGGAACGGTACTTCTCGCATCCTTGGTTATCATACATTTCAAGTTTGGCAGTAACATATTTTTAATGGATATAATACACAAATAATATAGTTTTTATTTTAATATTCTATATTTCAGGAATATATATATATTTTTTAATCATTAAATATGTAACTTGTTTTCGTACTTTAACTTCTATACGCGAAAAATAAAAAACACGTTTATATAAAATATTATATTTGTAAACATATTTTCTTAAAACGTATCGATTTAAAGAGATTAAAATTGACTGTCACCTACCTAATCCCAACTCATTTGGGTCAATCAACTTCACATGGTCGTTTTTAGGAAAAAAAAGATTGTATTTACAATTTTGTTATAATAGTGATTAACTAATTACAGTAAAAATTATATAAAATATACCGTTTTCTATGATTACAGGGCAATCGCAATTAGTAATGCCAAAAACTAATCAAAGAACCACACACAAAAAAAGATAAGAAAAATTTACTTACCAATTTTATTTTTTTAAAAGTCGCTGTAAAGTAATATACGAGTATACTCGACGTTTTTTGCATCAACCATTTCATGCAACAATTTAACATTGTGTTAGAAATTTATAGTAAAAAAAGGAGCATGTTTTATCATATACTGAGTGAATTATTATTAGCTTTTGACAACCCTGTGTGACAATCACCTAGCTTTCCTATATTAAATGAATAAATAATTTCGTATAAAATTTATTATATTCTTATTAATAAAAAATTTATTATATTCTTATTAATGAAAAATAAAAATTATATTTTAACGTTAAAATAATAATAATTTCAATATTTTTTTGATAATAAGTACATCTGCTTCAACAGTTACGTTATAAACAATTCTGGAAAGTGCTGTCGACAAGCACAAATATTTGCGTAAATATGCAGTCATCAAAGTGATAAATAATGATTTTAACATCAAAACAATTACCAGGACTGTTCATTACGTTCATAATATTTCTTGTGCTTGATATAAATAACAACGCGCACGGGAGTTTCACCTTTGCTGGTCGTAAAATTAGTTCCTTTTCATGAACTTTTTTAAGAAAATCTACACGGAGAGAATTTTCTTTTAAAATTTACCCTGAAAATATGACAGTCGTGGGACAACATTGTATTTCGAAGATTTTTACCATACACTTCAGTAAAATTGATCAAACTTATTTTAAACTTTATTGTAGTTTTATTAATGAATGAGAGGGATTTATGTTAAAATTCTTCAAAATACAATGTTGTCCCACGACTGTCATATTTTCAGGGTAAATTCTAAGAAAAAATTCTCTCCGTGTATTATATAGAGAAAAACGCGGGTTTTTGCATGAAATTATGTAATGTTTAAACAGTAAAAAAATTTTTTAATTAGATAAAGATGTATTTTAATGCCTCCAAATAGTGATTGAATTAGGGATCATCTGCAAAACATGTTTCCATGACAGAAGTAATACAGCCTCTGTAAATCATGTGAAATCAAAA